AACTCAGGTTACAGTTATAAACAACGTAAATTCCGAAACTAGCTTCTTAAGTTGTGGGGTGCCTCAAGGTTCAATCCTCGGCCCTCTACTATTTCTATTATACATTAATGATCTCACTAACTGTAACCTTCTATCGGATGTGAGAATGTACGCCGATGACACTAATCTCACGTTTGCGTCCAAAGACCCTAATGAGTTGTTTTCATCCCTGACTCATGATTTCGGCAATCTGAAGCAATGGCTCGATTCTAACCGTCTAAGTCTTAATGTCCTCAAGACTAAATGTCTGTTTACAGGCACCAGGCAAAAAATCTCTTTGCTCCCTAGCGATCCACACATATCTCTCGACGGGCATTCAATTGAAAGAGTCAATAGTTACAAATGCCTAGGCGTTCAGGTTGATGAAACACTCTCGTGGGAGGCTCACATCTCCGAAGTCATCGGTAAAGTTGCAAAAGTATTAGCTGCCCTGCGGAGGCTAAGACCAATATGTCCCCAGAGTACCCTTGTCACTATTGACAAGTCATTGATTCTTCCGCATCTCGATTATTGCAGGCATTATCTTCGAGGTGCGCAACATAACCTGTTTATTCCGCGACTGAACACTGAGGCCCTAAAGAAAAGTTTTCGTGATAGGGGCGCAGTAACATGGAACAGCCTGTCAGCTGAGGCTAAGCAGGCCACTACTTTAAATTGTTTTTATTCCGCTATTGTGCATTAAAATTTTCTTAATAGGCATTTATTATAGGATTTTTTTTCAATAATGTTTGTTATTTTTAAGTCTTAGTTTAATGTGCACGGCTCTTTAGAAGACCACTTTTTAGTGACAAGGATTCCGTGGTTAAATAAAGTTATTACTTACTTACACCAGAACGAGTAACGTCAATTTTTATGGCCATGTAAACTTAAAACATTAAAAAGTTAAGAAGACTCTATTGCTGGTGGGTTCAGTTATCAATTGACGCAGACCATAAATATCAATAATATAATATCAAGAAAGGCGGCAATATTTAGCAATTATTGAATGAGGCTGAGTTGGATAAGAAGAATTCTGCAGATCGAGGAGGGTGTTATCCACCGAGGCCGAAGGCGGAGGTGGATAACACCCTCCGAGATTTGCAGAATTCTTCATATCCTGCCATAGCCCAATTCAATAATTGCTTTATTATTCATTCAAAATAATTCCAACTTTAAAGCAAGCTAAAAATGCTTACTTCGGTCGATGTTAAGTTCACATCGATAGTGCATCTTTTTCGGGAAATTTAGCAGATAAAGGTCTGCTCAGGTCTGCAAATATACTCCAAATAGCAGATGTTGTCCGTGGAGTTGACTTCTCGCTGTTCTTGCTATGTTTTTAGACAACATTTCGCCGTG